AGGGTAAGGGTGGGGCCTGGGGTCACAGGGCACCGGGGCTGTCCCAGGCGGCCCCCAGGGTCCCCGCAGTCGCGGGGGCGCGTCTGGAACCCCCAGGAAGCGCGCCCTGCGCGGGCTGAGGTTTGCTAGCCGGGCTGGGGGAGGCCAGGCCGTGCGGAGCGACTGGGGGCAGGGAGGACGGGACACGTCGGGGACGTGGCAGGTGCTGCGACGGAGCGGAAACGGGCCACAAGGAGGGCGGAGATGTGGGCTCGCCTACGGAGCGGAGTCAGCCAGGAGGGTGTCTTTACGGGGTGAACTTCCATATGTGGTTTTTCCACCTCAAAACCCCCCGCCCAGCAGCCTCCCGCAGGGTCGGCAGCCCGGCCCGGTCCCCACTGGTGGCCCTTCGCCCGCCGTTCACCTCTGACCCTCGCCTGGGAAACGGGTTAGTCAGAGCGGACTGCGTGGGCCAAGGGGCGTGTGTTCCCTGCGGCCCAGCTCTCTCCGTGGGGCAGCTACCACTGTCCCTTTTCCGTGGCTGTTCCCCAAGAGCTGCCCCGGCCTGTGAAGTCACCCCACCTTCGCCTCAGCCCGGGTTGGCAGACAAAGGGACAGCCTGGGGGGGCGTTTGAGTCCGGGGCAGCCCGAGCCGGCGCACTGCTCGGGGGACATTTCCCAGACAGAAAGCGTGGCCCCCGCCCCGCGCCCTGCGGCCAGCGGGTGGGGCGCGGCTGGCAGGCGGAAGCGTGGAAGCAGGTGGGACCGTCCTCGCGTCTCAGGAGCCCGCCAGCCCCGCTGCTCCCGGAGCTGCGGCCCCTCGGGCGGGGAGTGCCGCCCGGGGTCGTCCCCAGCTTGGCCACCAGGCTCGGGAGATACGCTATATTTTTTACGTGACAATTCAGGTCTTTTTAATGGCTTTATTAATAAATTTAAAAAAGGGGGGGTGCAGAGAAAAGGAAACGGCCCCGTGTCCATTTGCTGAGGGCACAGAACAGTGGGGAGCGCAGCTCACGGTGGGGCCCCCGTGGGACACCCCGAGTGGGCTGGCGGCCTGGGCAGCCGGCCCTGCCATGAGTCCAGGTGGAAGCCCGTCTGGGGGAGCAGTAGGGGGGCACCCTTCTGTGGCCCCCCTGTCCTTTCTGCAGGGAGGGGCCCAGACCCCCCGTGGATCGTGGAGGCACAGAGGTGACAAGTGGGACCCTTGGAGCAGTTTTAACTGTCATCTGGGGTTTCCTGGGTGTTGTCACTTCCATGTTGGGGACAAGCCTGGTTCGAGGTTTGGGGGAGGGGGCGATGTGGGGGCCGGGACAATGGGACCGCGAAGCAGTGGAGCTGGCCTCGCTCCTTTGCGGGCTCTTGCGTGCGTGCGAGATGCAAACAGGCTATTAGTAAGTGGCAGGCAATTAGTTCCACTCCCCGGTGGCTTCGCTGACGCAAGCCCCAGGTCTCCTGGTTACCAGACTGGCAGCCTCGGGCGTCACAGGGCTCCCACCGGCCCCTCTCCTGTGGACGCTCTCAGCCTCTCCAAGGTGGGGTCTCCCCACCCCAGCCCAGGGTGCTGGTCCCCGGCTGGCCCTCTAGTTGGTTCCCTGTAGTGTCATTGGGCCGGGCTTCCCAAAGCACCCCTTTACCCCTCACCCCCCTCACCCTCACCCTTTCAGACCACCCCTCAGGACACCTCCTTTCTGGCTCCTCCCTCCCTCTGCACGTCCAGCCTGCCTGTGGCTCCCTCTCTGCACCCAGGGTGCCTCCCTTCAGCTCGCACTGCAGAACCCTGTGTCTAGCATGCTCTCCACCTAGATTCCTCCATGGCTCCCTCCCTCGGCTCCTCCAGCTCTCCCTCAAATGTCACTTACCTGGGGGCCCTCCCGGACCACTCTGCCCTGAAT